TTTCAAGATAAGAATAAAATATAACAAGATTTAAATGTCCATCAGCATATAAAATATGCAATAAAAGATGATCATTGAATCAGCGCTGCCAATAAAAATAAATATTTCTGTGATGGTTTTTACTTTTCACTTTGAGTTTGAAAATCGCTCGATTTTTTGAGCGGCCCACGGAAAAAGTGGTGTGAATCCGGCGCAAAATTTCGCCGAACACGTCAGCGGCGGTAGACGTACGACTCCCTTGGGCGAAGTCGAAGTACATCGGCGTGTCAGGAGCGCCCACAGCGCGCAAAACCGTTCATAATGTACGACGTGCTTGTTTGTCCTTAGTCCTTCGCCGCGGCCCGTATTCCTCGCCAATACCTGCGAGAAATCGACCACGTGCAACACGCTGAAAGCCCGCACAAACAATTTACACGACACGAAACAAACAAACAGTATTTACGTTGTGCGGAAAATCTTTTGAGCAACGTGGACAAGTAAAACATGCAACGTTTTTCATTTTTTTCTTTATTGTTATTTGCAAAGCATGAGCAAAGAATTCTAAAAAAAAAAGAGTGAATAATTTGCGTTATAATTCAGTTTAGTTTTTACTGTCAGGATGGTGTAATTATGTAAAACCTCTGCAGCATATTACTGCACTTTCTGCACTGTTATTGCAACATCGACGAGCATTCCCGCATGAGTTCTTGTTTGCTCTTTGGTGACATCCCATGTTTAGTCAGTGAGTGGTAGGTCAACGGCATTGCCGCAATATGAACATCTAGTACCAAAATGGCTGATGTAGGTAGTTGGGCTTGAAATATACATAGCCTCATTATTTTTTTCGTTTAATGTCAACAAACATACCCGAATGTCCGCAATGTTTATTTCACGAATACTAAAAAATACAGTTTTAGTACAAAAATCAAAAAACAAAATTCAATTTAGTAAAATTTTTCTCTTTTTTTTTAAATTTCAATTTCATTAACTCCAGATTGCCAAATGTTTAAGACATAACCCATCAAGAATCTGTCAAGTTTCCATTTGTACGTAAATGTAATGTGTTTCATACGCGCACTTCTGCCCCAATCCCACTTGCTGAGTCAATCCGTTTAATGATTTTTTCGTCGCGGTGCGTTGAAACAAGAGCTCAAAGAGATCTCGTCGCAAACGCTAGACGCGCCCGCTTTTCGGTAAATTCGTGGGTCCTGAGTTGTTCTGCTGTACGTGCATCAACAATGAAATCGTCGGAGAGTGAACGGAAAATTGTGTTTACTCAAAACTAGCACGCTGGATCATAATAGAACTTGGCTGCTTGTTTTTCCCGAAGGCAAAACACGTCTAGACAAGGGGCTTTGATACGCATTTATAGAATTGTAGTTTAAACAAACATTTTTGATTTAAACTTTGATCCATCAACGTTTATACACTGGGAAATTTCATATTTTCTTTATTTGTTTATATAATCTAAATAAATAAATAAATACAATCAGTACGAATATAGGATGCGGTAATATTATAAACAGAATAAAGCTGAATAATATCACGTTTATATTCCAAGACGGTGACAATTCTTTTCCATGATAATGCACCGCAGGCATTGCAAAGCAAGGGCGCGGCGCGTGTATCAATAAAAAGTTTATCGTTATTGCTATCCAGGGAGTCGTATTATTTATTCGCTGGCGCCCGACTCATCGTGCACACGTAACATGCTACCTGCTGCCATAACAAAATAGTTCGTATCACGTTTTCATGTCTACCTCAACATTTTCAAGCCTTGAAAATTTAAGCAAATGAAAATCCACTTTTATAATATTTAGCTTTATATTGATTTACTGCTATATATTATTCTTATATTAATAATGTAGAAAAAGTAATCTAACAATAAGAAAATTTATGATGTAATATAAATGAGAAAGCAAACTGTTCCTGATTGCTAGTTAATGAAGTATAAATTAATAATGCAATATGTCGTGTAGTTATGGACGGTATTAAAACTGTTATTGCATGTAATGGCCAAATAGGTTCCAAAATGGAGTCAAAACACACCGATTAAATCTAAAATTGCCTATTGAATGTTTTATTAAATTATCGAAGTACATGTCGCCTGCGCGGGAACATTGGGACCACGAAAGCAAATTCGTGCGGGCCAGACAGCATAACATGTTTTTGTTTACGATAGCGCAACGGTCACCAGGTCAGATTTCTAAATTATGTTGTTAGAATTTAATTAAGTTATTTGGTACGCAATTATTTGAATTTAATTTTTGAACAATTCATTACATCACAATGTTAATGTATTGATAATATATGATCCACTACTTTTTTACTTCTTTGTTGTTTTGTTACTCCCTTTTTATTTTTTTAACTTTTCAATGGAGAATTCCCTAACAAAAGCAACACTTTGCATAAAAAACCAAGGGTAACATTATATATTTGTGTAGTGTCCTTTCTTGAGCTTATCCCTTGCATGTAAAATGCCATTCCGTAGTTTTTTCTCTAAGTTTAATACACATTTGATGCCAATGCACTTGATGCGTTGCGCGTCGTTGTCATGCACGAATGCCCCGCAAATTTCCACCACCTTGCATTGCAACGCACTCTCGTAAGTTTCTACGTTTTGCACATGTAAGCAATGAAACGAAAGGAAAGTGGAAACTCAATACGTGCGTGTTGTACGCGAGCAGTATAGAAATCCACAAGAAAAATATACATTACAAGCCAACAGGGACACAGAGGGTGAGCTTGCGAAACATAAAACGCAAGAGGGAGCATAAATTTTAAGGGTGCATCGTGGAACCGGCAATGCATCGCGGTGTATTAGCAGTACCGCAAGGAGACGAGGTACACGACACTCGAATGAACTTTATTTATAGATAATTCAGCAAGTTACGACGTAAAATCAAAAAAGTTTTTGTTATTTTATGTTGTTTTAGATTTATTTTATTTATATTGCATTTAGTGTTTTGTTATTGCAAGTTTGGTCGGAACTTGTTTTAGGATTAGTAGTAGTTATTTATTAAATAAATAAATAAAGTTTTTGGCATTTTGCGGTGCACTGAGCGCAGTGACTTAATGTTTCACACTTTGACTTTTTGTCTCTGGCTTATTCATAACCCAATGACACGCTGGCACTCTCTGCGCCGCTTATTTTTACGCGTTGCTGCTTCTTCATTTGACTTGGCGCGCAGCCGACTTTATGTATATTTTACAACGTCGACAAAGGATGCCCGAAAAGACATTCGCGTCACTTTTAATTGCCCGCCTTTTATTTCGCAAGCGGCGAGTTCTCAAGTACGCTTCACGACAATTTCCAACTTCATGCGTAATGAAAAGGCCTTCTTTAATTTACGCCGCTGTCAATGGCGCTGGCATTTTCCTACTACAATTTCACGGTCACAAACTAAATATATGTATACACTCCACACTGTAACAATAATATACCATCGGCATGTTTCAATGTTGTGCATAGTAAGGTTTACTAACAAAGTCTTAATATTAAAGTGTCGAAAATTGGAAACGGTTGGATCTCGAATCGAATAAAATGCCAACCGCATGTGAACCACGTTGAATAGAAGAGCGAAGAGCGAGCGTGGACAGAAGTGCGACGACAACGCAAACCAATATGGTTTTTACGGCGATTACGCGATTAAAAATTAAGCGTTCGATTTAAACGGGCTTCGCATTCGTATCACGCTCAATGAATCCAATTTACAGGTCCCCAATGCCCGCATGCGAAAATCCCCTGGATGTTCTAACAAATCGATTTTACATTATACATTTTAAAACAACCGAAAGTAAATAGGAAATAATTGGATTCATAAAACTTTTAACTAGTTTTTATCATATTTTTGTTATAAAAATTCTTGCTGACGGACTCTATGCGCCATCTACAAGTTGTAAAGTCAACTAAAGTTACACTTGTTTGTAAACACTCTTATCACACGTTTTATTTTTATTTGTTTTTCGATAGTTTTAATTTAATAAATCACAACGTAAATTAATTAACAGATAACTAAGCATAGTTATTGTAAATTTTTCTAATAAACCCTATTTATTTATGTTTTTTATTAAAATGACAAATTTCTTTTGTTCTAAAACATAATAAAAATAATAAAATTTGATTGCAGACATCGATAAATGATTCCATTATGAATTTAACATTTAATGATTTCAAATCACGTTTTTTTAGAGAGTTCCATCAAGTAATAACCTCATCAAAGCAATGTTTATATTTTTTTAATACCAAAACTCAAATAGAATCTCGAATATCTTTATCGTAAGGATTCCGAATGTGTTCGAGTTAATCTCCACGGTGGCGTTTTAATATCCGCTCGCAATGTACCCTGAGTTCCGGATCACCACCCACTTCGGCCTCCAACCCCTAGCCGTTCTTTTTTTTTAGCGCGGTGAGTCTCTGATGCTTGAAGTTTTATCTAAACCAATCCATCTGAAGCGCAAAACAGAAAATCCAAGATCCTCCCAGCTGTTTCTCTCATGCACATCCATGTACACATCCATCCGGCCGGAAGCATGCTAGCGCCTCTATATTATCCTTTATTCTATTTTTGTTCTCTTTTTTTTGTGTGTGTGTACGTATTTTTTGTTTTGTTTTGTGGTCCTCTGATAGCAAACCGTTACGAATCGAAAACTTCCCATTCGATTCTTCAATTGTTTATTCAATTATTTCCTCCATCTGGATTGTGAATGCGAGAGTGGGCGACAAACTGCTTCGAGGATCTTTGTGAATCAAATCTGTAATCCATTTCTTTTTTTTTATCTACGTTTTTTTTTAATTCTTAGATTTTTAATGTAAGAATAAATTTGATAAAAAAACAACAATAGATTAATTAAAAAATTTATTTTGCATCATTGACTATTAAATTGATGTTTTCCGAGCAATTATGGTAATTGACAAAGTTGACTTAATTAAATAGGTAATTAGGAAAAAGGGTACTGCATCAGGAAGTGGGAGAAGTATATATTTTGTTCACAGCGTTGCGAAATCAGTTTGAATCAACATGAATGACTTTAAACCAATTCCAGAGGCTGAAAAGCATTCGGAATTTTTACGTGATGTCATCGACGTGTTATTTAAAAACGTAATCTTTACAAGTGCGACAGATAAAGTAGTTCTCTGGAAGCCCCCTCAAGAACTACAAGTTTTATTTGACTTTAAGTTGGAGCAAGGCGGTGCGTCCCATGAGAAACTTTTAACTTTGTTGAAAAACGTGATTAAGTACAGTGTTAAAACAGGTCATCCATACTTCATTAATCAATTATTCTCTGGGTAAAATTTAATATTAATTATAAATTAATTTTGATGTAGGTAATAATTTATTCATACTTTAGCTTGGATCCTTATGGATTGGCAGGACAATGGCTAACAGATGCATTAAACGCCAGTGTTTATACATACGAAGTAGCTCCGGTTTTCACATTAATGGAAACACATGTTATTGAAGAGATGTGTAAAATGATAGGACCCGATTGGTGCGATGGAATGTTTTGTCCCGGTGGATCAACAGCTAACGGTATTGCAATGAATCTTGCAAGATATTATCTTGATCCAAAGACAAAAGTAAGTGTTTTCTACTTTTTACCTAAAAATACGTAATAATTAATTATTTATTGTTTTATGAAGCTAAGTGGAAATAATCCTAAATATGTAATGTTTACATCTGAAGAATGTCATTATTCCATGCATAAATTTGCTGCTTTTATTGGTCTTGGTGAAAACAACATAATTGATATTCAAACAGATAATTCTGGAAAAATGGATGCACATGCTCTTCAATCCGAAGTTCAATCACAAAGCAGCAAAGGAAAAATTCCATTTCTTGTTATTGCAACATTAGGTATGCAAAATCAATATTATTAAACTAAAATTTGATTGCAAATTCTATTCTAGGAAGTACGGTTCGTGGCGCTTTTGACCCTGTCAATGAATTAGCCGATATTTGCAAACAATATTCCATGTGGCTTCATGTTGATGCTGCCTGGGGTGGCGGCCTCCTCTTCTCGCAGAAGCATCGAACAAAACTAAATGGAATCGAACGTGCGAATTCGATAGTCATCAATCCTCACAAACTACTCGCCGTACCACAACAATGTTCTATTCTGTTCGTTCGACATGCAGGTCTACTTCATCGCTGCCATTCGAAGGGCGCACAATATCTATTTCAGAAGGATAAGTATTATGACGGCAGCTATGATCCCGGTGACAAATATTTGCAGTGTGGCCGCAAGTGTGACGTGTTCAAATTCTGGCTCATGTGGAAAGCTAAAGTATGTCATACTCGCTATTCGACCCTTAGTGGTACTATAAGTTACTATAACGGAATAAAAACACATTTTAGGGCTCGATGGGGTTTGCGAGCCACGTGGAAACTCTGATGGACCTTGCTGAATACTTTGAACAGCAGGTTCATAAGAGGCCTGACTTTCACCTGGTCTCGCAACGGCATTACATGAACGTCTGCTTCTGGTATTTGCCCAAGTATTTGCAGGGAAGGGCAAACTTTCTCGAATATTCCAGTCAACTTCAAAAGGTATAGTATTTACTACCTCACATTGTAATTTATGTTTGCTATAAATTAAACTTCGTAAACATAATAGATATTTTACAGAGAAAACGAGATTTTAGCTAGCAAATTTTTGTTAAATATTATTTTTGCATAGTGTTTTAATTATGCGTTAAATATGAAAATGTATAGTACTGATATTGCCATCTGTATATATTAATTACAGGTAGCTCCGCTGATCAAAGCCGAAATGGTAAAACACGGATCTGTAATGCTCAGCTATCAACCACTGAAGCAGCTACCAAACTTCTTTCGTTTCGTTTCACAAAACTCCGCGCTACGGCACACAGATGTCGACTTTATCTTGGATCACATTTCAGAAATTGGACGCGCTTTATTTCCTTAGTTTACAAACGCATCATTTCACTTTTTAGTTATTATAACAACAACAAAAGATTATATTTTAATTAAAAGCGTTAGAAAGTTCAAATCTTTAAATAGGATATAAAAGTTTGGAAATACTTCTGATTTTACAAACTAGATGTCGCTTCTACACCCGTTTTACACAATATTTTATGTTAATAATTTAAATAGCGTATATTAAGTAAAGGAGTGGTGCACTTCAACAAGCAAATAAATGTATTATATACTTTTAAAACTAAAAGTTACGTAATGGTATGGTAATGAATGTTAACAAAGTCGTAAATAAATATATTACCGGTATTTCATCCGCTATCTATGAAAGGTAAAGTGCAATCCTGCAACGACATTTGTGCACGTAATACCATTGCTAATTATAGAAAAAAATAAATAATATTATGAACCCTAATAAATAAGTTTAATTTATGTTTTATGTTATGTGTGTTAGTAATTATAATAAAATTAAAATTCTAAAAAATTACTTTTTGTTATGTGCAAACACTCCTGAAACAATTCAATTCTTAATTTATGATTTCCTATCAATATTTCTTTATCATGTTGCTAGGCATATTCGTAGATTAAACTAGCTGCATTTTTTACAGAAGCAAAAATGTTTACTGTATTAATTATTAGTTTGGCGTTTAAGTCAATAAACTACTACTTATTATGTGACACTTATAAATATCTAAGAACTACTTGCTTCTGTTCATTAATAATAAAATAACTGTAACTTTACTTCGAAGGCAACCCACGCATAATTATTACTTTGTCTTTATTTGCTTCAATTATCATTTACACCGCACCGTAACTTCGCATTAAATTGGCATTGGGCGCTGAACCTGACATAGCAATAATGGATAGGACTGCCATATTGAGACATCTATAAACTTTGAAAAATATACATAACGTCTTAATTTAATACGATTGCTTGCCGGCTAACTACGCGAATACATAATGAGCAAATTGAACACAATAACGTTTCGGAAACATGTGATTTAGAAGCAGTTATATTTACGGGCATTTGTATTAATACATACGCTCGCAGTAGCGGCTAATTTGTGTTGAACGCCAAATGTCAATTGTCGTTAAATTCAGCATTCGTCGGCGATTTATTGTTATTGGTGCGACTCGAGCTCTAAGAACAATTAGTCGTTGCAGCGACGTGGCAGCGAAATTATATTCCGGCTCGCGTTTATTAAACGTAACCTTTAGTGAGGAGGTTTTAGTACTCGGCACGATTCATTCATTTGTGCACACAGCACGCAGGATTCATTGAATATCAATTAATCTCAGACGGAAGGCTTGCAAATTACAAAACAATAGTTAATGTTATAGACCGCACGCGCACCGATGTATATTAAGGCAAAACAATGCAAAGAAAAAATGGTTTTCGACTTCAACTTTCATATTATACGTCGTGATGAGTGCGGCTTGTAGAATTGCCACGTATGAAAGTTAATTTACGCCGCGCAAACCACTTTAGCTACTTTTTATGCATAAACGAAGATGAAAACATAATTAATCTGACGTGAACACCTGCACGTGCTACTCTCTCACTCGCAGTTTCCTTTTTATGCAGTTGATCACTTGTTACTGTGCATTAACTGAGAATTATACGCATTGCAACAGATTACATTCAATAATATATAAATTACTGAATGGAAAAACTTGTGGGCATATTAGGTTAACAAAAAAACTGAAGATTATTCATCACCTGCGCAGATCAGAAGCGCAATAAATTAATTACCCTTACTTTGCATATGGCTACCATCATCAATTAGAAATAGTCATTATTTTATTATAATTGCTAATTTAAAGTGTTAATTTAGATAAATTTAATGTAGCTATCAACAAATAAATAATGCAGATCTAAGTCGGTAGTTAAGAATAGTCTCATACAATACGGATGAGTAGTAAAAAACAGATTTTTTAAATGTTTTATAAACCAATCATAATTGTAATATGGTTTTAATTACGTTGTGATTTTAATTTCTTTATGTTTTCTTAAAATAAGCAAAAATAACTTATTTTAACGATGTTGTAATGGGTGTAGATTTTTGCCTTTTACGATTCCTTATGTAAATAGTTCTAAGAATTGCCGTAACATTTAGTTTTAAAATAGACATAAATTTGGTAATTGCTACAGTATTCGAGGGGTTGATACATGCATTCGCGTTATTCCTCTGTGTTGACACGCCTGCGGTTACGGCCACTGGGATTTCTAATAATTTTACTTAATTTAATTAAGCTGTTAAACGCTAATCAAAAATATACTGTACGTTTTCATTCTTAGTAATGCTATAACGGCAAGTTACCACACATCAAACGTTATATTCGCCGGTAAATTATTAGTTAATTGTTCAAAATGATATTTTAAAATTTTGCAGTCAAAAATTAAATTAAACGTATTGCTTCCAATATTAATAGGGTAAAAACCAAAAAACTAAACCATGTTTAAAAGCTGTTTTAACACCACAAAACTCTAGTGCAGGTAAACATAAACCTTTGACATTTTGAAAGAAACAAATCGCAATCAGTATCTTAGTAATAACTTACTCTATTAGTTCTTATGAGAATGCGCCGATTATCGTGCATAATTGCTTAATTAGGAAGCCAGCGTGGCCGTAAATAAAAAAGTACTCAAACAATTATAGATGGTTGCAGTCAGCTTCAATTGGCGCGTTTGTCAATAATAACTAATTGTCGTTGCAAGTGCCGTAGTAATAGTATGCATATTCATTATAATCGGTAATTATGTTTTCGATTCATATTGATGCGAAGTAATTGCTAATGAAGTCTGTGATGGTTGTTCATGTACTTTCTGTTAGTTTGTGATTTTTTACCAGGATCATTGGTATGTTGTATATTGGTATATGAGCGTTAAAAATGTAAGCGATTAAATATAGATTGAATTTAAATCCCATCATAATTTACAATTAGAGTCCTTTAAGTCCACATTTTAACTTTTCATCATTTGATTTAAATTTTATCTTCAATTTTCCGAAACAAATTAAATCCAAAAATGGAAAGATTCGAAAGTACTGAGTACATTAATCGTATTAAATTAAAATTAAATTAAGTAGTAAATTCCCAACAAATCTACACACAACATTAGATAATTAACTAAATTCGTTTTAACCATAAAAATTGAATTTCATATAATAGGTTAGATTATGTCTATAAGTTGGCTACTACCTACCATTGTATTTCAAGTTGGCTTATGTTTTGCTGCATTTCACATTTGAAACAAACACAATTTGCACTCTTGAGCAATCTTCTTCTTTTCTTTAGAAAAACAGACACAAACAGCCTTGTTTCACTTATTTTCTTTTCCTCTCTTCTTCTGCGAAAGAAATAAAATATTACATTACAAAATCTAAATTAATACAATAATAAATTATAAAACGCTCGAATATGATTCAGCGCTTCACAGCGTGACACCCTTTATATCATTGCTCTTCAAGTGCCTACAATTCTCTGACGACAATGTACAATTTCGACAAACGCGTGATTTACAACCTCACGCGGTTTATGACTTTTTGATGCTCCGCATTTCCAACATCCACTTCTCGAACTTCTGCTGCGCCGCGACCACGCCAGACAAAGTGGAACAAAGCAACTAGTAAAATTTCACTATGGCACATTGATTTCTTTAGCGTGTCACTGAAGTTTCGCGCGTTTTATAGCCGCACGTCTTGCATGCGAGTAACAAAAGGACAAAGGACGCCCAACAAAAGCAATTTGGCTGTGTGTTATTTTTTTACATCTGTGCGTTCATTACTGTTTATTAATGTTGTGCGCATAAAAAAGTGACTTTTAAAGATATGACGCATTGAGCACAGACACACGGGGAAGCAACTTTCCCCTTACGCAAATCGCAATAATAATCGTTTTAATGTCCCTTTTACAGCATTGATGTTTTAGTATTCGTGGACCAATCGACAAGCGGCCACTACAAGTAAAAACATAACAACAGTGAATGTCGGAAGTATAGCGAGATGGTTAACATGTGTATATTGAAACCTTAAGGGTTTAGGAAAGTAATTGCTTACTAAATGGAGCGTGCCACTTTTAGGGTGACGTCTTAAGGGTGCTCCCTATTTAGGGCTGCCGACACCTAATCCGGGACCCGTTCGGCAAGTTTTTGACAAGTTGTAAAAACACACTAAAAGATCGCTCACAAAGTCAATGCCGCTTTTAATGAGCGTGAACCACACAAGAATCTCAATATTTTAAAACTAATAAAACTTTGAATATGAATATAGCCAGAATAACATTTTCATTCCCATGGACTGCTTACTGTACTAAAAAATACATAAAACCAAATAAAGCGCAACGAATTATTTTTTCCTTTCGTGAACTATTCTTCTTTGAGGTTGACATTCATGTAAATTCTATTCGAGAGTGTAGAGTAAGTGTTTTTCAATTGATTGCACATTATGAGCGCGTAAAACGGAAATATTCACAAATGTTGAGTCACAGAATGTCCTGGAATTTAGATTCATATATATTACAATACGGAAGTGGAGACTGTGAGAGTGCATACTTAAAGAAACTATCGCTGTGTCGTTGGCGTTCGTTTGGATTACGTTTTTAGCTCTCATCGTTGTGTGTCGACGGTGTAGCCGCCCATTCTCGACCGCGTCATTAGATACGGATTTTATCGGCGTAGCCGACGTGCGAATTATCACCAGCATGTGCACAGTGCACATTCGATGAGGTTTCGTCGCTCACCGAAATGCAAGAGACAAACTACCGAACTGTCATTCTAAACGTTACGTTGATGTCTTCAGTAAGTGCCATATTTCATATTAAATATCTTCTACTCCTCATTACTGAGCAAAAATCAAGAAAATCATCTCTATCGACTCTAAGCCGGCAAAAACTAAAATAATCTACTAACTATATTCATGTTAGTGGTGAAAATATGTGATTTTCATTAAAACATTGAACGGATTTGCGGAAATATTTGTAATTATTTCCCATTACATAAGAATTAAAGACTAAAGCACTAAACCCTCGTACTGTTTCAAAAAAGAATGTAATTACTTCTTCTTTGCCCATTTACCGCAGCCATTGAGCCGCCGCAATGTCCTGTTTGATAGGGAACGTAGTGATGTCTGTCATCATCGCAGCACATGAGGAACTAATGCAAAACGAAAGACAATGAGATGTGCGATGCGTTCGTGTCGCGTACTTTACGAGCACCGTTCTTAATTACATTAACGCGACATCGTTAAATTATTTCATCTTGGTTGGTGAAATCATTATCTCGCTTGCACGTTCGTCATTGCTCCGCGCGCATTCCCATGAGGGGAGACGTTAAACGGTCTTAATACCAGCGACTGCCCACGAGAACAGCGCGCATTGCTGATTCCTGGAGTTTTATACAAACTACAAAGTAAGTTCTACGCTGGAATTTCACAAGTACTAGTTTTTAAAATGCATGAATATGTTTTTGTTCTGAGTTGAATTAAAGTTAAAAAAGTTGCAATGGTTTTGATATCGTCACCATATGCAAAACAAGAAAAGATCATATATTAAGATCCTACTTCATCATGTTGACAACTCAACATGCCAATTAATAATATGACATCCAGAAACACCTAATAACTAACTCCTAACGATTTATTGCTGTCGCTGGTTAGTAGTTAGATCATATATTGACTTTACACCACAGCCATGTATAAAATATATTACTCCAAATAGAGTCGTAACGCAAACGCAAATTAATTATATACGTCTCTCAAACAAAAACAACAGAGGTCATTTAGCCCACATCCTGCCGTCGCATGCCGTCATATTGCCTGGACGAGCTTTCTGCCGATTGACAGTCAACGACGCCGGAGATGGATGGACGATGTGCGTGCACCCAACAACGTACACGCACAGGTTGCCCGACACTTGCATTGTGAGCGCTGCTGTGCTACCCGGGCAAAAAGCGCTGAAAAACGCACACACCTAGAACAAAAAAAGCAATATCAACCTGCAAGCGAGAGGTGTGAGCACGCATTTTAAAGCACACGGCGAGCGCGTCTAACTGTGCAAAGTTGAGTTATACCTTCATGGCAATTGCTTACGGAAATTTGTCGGATGTGGATGTATATATATTTATACGCACGGACTCAGATAGTATACTGCAAATATAAGTTGTTGTGGCAGATGTAGTTATCGGTGTGCATTCTAGATGCACGCAATATGCTAATACGGGCCTTTTTGTTTCACACTGTAGCCTTGAACAAATAAATTAAATTATATTTAATTATAATTGCTGATGATTTATGGATTTATTGTAATGAATCAAATCCAGACATGTTAACCTGTTTCTGCTTGGAAGTGGTGAAAATGCCTCCCCATTGCTGAAACGTGAAAGAATGTGAATATTCTGTGATTTAGAATCTATTGTTAAGCACGGGTAAAATACTAACCTTGAAATTCAGCGCGGTGTTGCAATTCTAACCTCACAAATAGAAACAATTGCTTCATCACAGTTTAAAAGTAGTTGATGTTAAAATAAAAACAAAACTTACTTGCTTTTGTAAACGTGCAAATCAGTGGTTTAAATAGATTTCATCTATAATTGTATGTGCAATAGTAATATGCATGCAGATATCAAAATTGAAGTTTGCGCGTTTTCCTGCATCATGCAACCGCCGATGCAACCGATCGCATGCGACGGTCTGCCCCCCACCGCCGCTGTCGGCACGACACACCGTGGTGGAATGGGGAGCGACTAGAGTCGTAAACGGCGCGTACCCTTTGCCCCCCCAGCCGCGGGCGGCGCTCGCGCTGCGCGGCGTGCAATTTGCAGTACGGTGCAGCGCGGTGCAACGACGGGCGCACACTGCACACACGCCAATTCACTTCGCTGCGGCCTCGCAAGACTGGCAGTTGAATTTCGTCCTGACAGAAGCGTGGAACCGACCAGGCCGAGCAGAGCGCTCCGCAGCACTTCACACACTCGTCGCGCGGTGGTTTGCCTTTAGGTACTTTCGTCCGACGGTTTCGCACCGAAGTGCAAGTGCAAATTGCGAGCAGTTTCGTGCTTGTATCATGCGAGCGGCGATTGCATGCAATACGTCAATCAATTGAACACAAATCGGACGCACGCTCTCGCAGGAGCAGCACACCGCAAACCCCTGGAAGGAACGCAACCAGTTGTTACACCATCAATTCTGAGATTCGCGCGCGTGGTGTTGTGGTAAATTGTTGTCTAGGGCCTATAGTGCTATAGTGCTTTTGTGCTTTTAGGGCAAAAGCGAAGCGCTCCGCGGAAAACTTTCGTCTAACCTGTTGCGCGCGTACTGAATCCCCGACATCGGTAGTGGATCGTGCTTCTCGGGTCGTTGGCGGCGGCGGCGGCGGCAAGCTACCCACACGCCAGTTACATTGTGTTACACTTTTGATCTGGTGTGAATGTGTGCAGTTTGCATCTCACACTGCGTGTTGCGTGTGTATAAGTTGGTGCCAGTAGCCGTCGCTTCAGTGATCATAATTCATCGCCACGTGTGTGCATTCGGGAAGTGACTTAACACAACTCTACTAAAATATACATTGTGACATTGATCATATCAAGTGTTAGAAAACAATAAACTAAAAATGTCCGATTCGCAATCAGAATACGACTCAAAGATGGCCGTGGTAAATGCTTCATCCACCTCTGCATCTCGACGCACACCACCAAACTGCGCACGTTGTCGAAACCATCGATTGAAGATCCCACTGAAGAGTCACAAGCGTTTCTGCAAGTTCCGCTCCTGCAAGTGCGAGAAATGTAAACTCACCTCTGAACGTCAGCGCGTGATGGCAATGCAGACAGCATTACGACGCGCACAACAACAAGACGAACAGATGATGAAAACCAGTAGCAATTTCATGCCGAAAAGTCCGTCGCCGATTCATCATTCGCAACACCCGCTCCTCGGCAACAACGGTAGCAGTCCGAGCGCTGGTGGCGGCGGCGGCGGCAGTGCAGGAGCTCCCATAGAACGAAGCATCGACTGTGACTCACCCGCCTCCTCGCAGTGCTCCACTACGCAAGCCGTCTCTGATAAAGTCAACGGCGAAGTCGTTGCCATTTCATCCACCAGCATCAAATCAGTGGGTAAGTCGTCTTTAATTTAAAATCAAGGAAGCTCGCAAAACAATTTGTAACTGTGTTTAATCATGCAAACAGTTACATTGCCCTCAAATGTCATAATAACTGATACTTTAATGAGTATGTCTATCCTTCTCAATGTTACTTGTTTCTTTTCCTGGATGTATACATAATTGATAAGATAGTGCGCTTTTTTGCGCGCGGTTTAGAGACGTCCGATAAAAGTCTAGTTCGATAGCACGTGGAAAAATCACACATCGTCTAACACTCAACGCGCAGTCCGCCTAGCAAGATCAGCGGCGCTTGACGTTTTGCGTACATACTTAACTCACCAAAATAACCAACCTAAGCCGACGCAGTCGCCGCGAGTTAAGCTTTAAGTCAACTCGCCACTACATAGTAACAGAAATGTAATAATATCTTGCTCGCCAAATAGATTCCAAACATTCGTTGGCGCTACTGTGCCGATACATGTGTTAATTTCACTAACTGCTTGCATATATAGCGAAATTTTGTATTTTAATCAGTTCAGGAACTGAATAAAAACTATTTAGCTATATACTAACAAATTGATAAGAATTGTATACTTGATTACTAGTTTGCTTTAAACATACTTCCATAGCAGTGATATAATTATCATATTTCACTGGCAAATTATATAAATTTTGCCCAAAAACGTAAAATTAGGTAATCTAAGCATATTACTACTTCCTAAACACGCACAACTCATTTACAAGCTCAGGAATCCATTAATAAATGGGTATGATGTTTGTAATCATTGGGTGTGAGCTTTTGTTGTCACGCTCTTCGCTTTTGCAAGCATTTTCAGAGTTTTTGTTTTGTTTCTGCGTAGGTTTAAACAAAACCGAAGAAAAAATATGCGCTGCAGACTTCTCATGCGCGCGGACTTCACTAATACGCACATCTCACATGTCATAGTTTGCTCTCGCGTTTTTCGTACAGTGTTTCGCCGAACAGGTTTGGTCTGCGTTACCAACGGTGCTGTTGGGCGGTCGGGGTTATTAAATACTCTCCACGTTTCGCCTGTGCCGTGCGCAAGCATCCACGATTTGCATCTTTTTCTTATTGGAATCAGCGCTCTGCCGGTTTACGTGTTTGCGGAATCGACTAAGAAATCATTCCATTCCGAGTGGGATCATAATATGTTTCCCACTCGTCAAGCATCGTGTTTGTGTCAGCGAACTTTCCAAGCGAATATAAACAAATGACAAAAATGTTGAGAATAGTTAGAAAAATTCTTATCTAGAAATATAGAAAATTTGTTTACTTCAAGTTACGTTGTGAACGTATTCAAATTTATTCGTTAGTAGGTATGTAGAAGTCGAAATGAGTTTAGATGCTCATATTTTATCCACTTATGCCAAATTTATATATTGTGTAACAGAGAAATGATTTTATTAAATTTTATTAAATGCAATGCACATATTGCATAATTTATGTTTGTGTCGACCTCTGAAAATCTCCCTATTCGGGTTTATATAGGTGCAAAATATCTGATAAATTCATAATAACAAAGTTATGGTAGTTCACCAGCAATTATAAAGAAATAAAATGGTATATTTCATACTATTAACATCTCATGGCGTTGAATAAGTCGAAATTAAACAAAGAACTTACACATGGAATACAATAATTTTCTTGTATAATTAATTCGTCGACTATATAAGTAAAGATCTTGTTGAAACTGTCGTAGTCGTAAAATCTCATGTTTTATCAACATATTTAGAGGACTATTAAATATTTAAAATTTTCGCAGCTTTGCATATGCCATCAGTTACAATAGATGCACCATCTGTACCTGTATTGTATTTAAATGTTTCTCTTTATTAATTTGTGTTGTAAAATTTATTACGCATTCATGTGGAAAATAGCAGATTGAATATGAATGTGAATCGTTTTGTTTAGAATCGACATTTTCTTTTACTTTAACCACGTAGTTAATAAATTAAAAATACTAAGAAGTATTTATAGATGTAGTTAAATTAAACAGGTCAAATTTTCATTATCATTAGTTGTAGATCATCTTGAAAATTCGCACTTCGTAAATATTTGAATTTACCAAGAAATTAAAGATAAGTGAAGACATTTTAATTAATATTTTTATTTGTACTCGTAAAATTCACAAAGTATTACGCTCGCCGTGACTCTGCTGATGGAGACACGAGCTAAACGCTTCGTTTTTTCCGTGTTTCCATGATGAAATTTTAATTCCTTCTTGCGTTTTTGCGTCGTACACTTCTTCGAGCTGTTTTCTTCTGTTGCACGTTTCGCATATTCATTAACTTCCAACTTACTAACACTAGTAGGCCGGTAAAAAATTAATATTCGTAGAGATGTGAAAATAAAACAAAAGAGATGACAATACCGTGCAACTCAGTCAAGCGTAGGCAACAAATGTAAATACTTGAATAAACAGGCCAAGAAAAAGGCATCAGTTCGAGATAAGCGTGTCAAAGATTTACTATATAGTAATACATACCTATAGTATGAGATAAGGTAGTTTAGTTTATTGAAGGTAATTTTATGGTTGAAATTTGCGAATATTTTGATTTTGTTTGAAAAATTGTGCGGAAAATAACCGAAAAACTTGCTGATTTGACAAATATTAACCATGACCCACTGCGTGACCTTATTAAACAGCATTATCTATTTCTGGACACAGAACAGATTCTTAATTTAGTATAACTTAGTTCGCAAAATATTTATTGCTCAAATTATGCAAACGCTTCATTAAAAATATTTACTGAGTAGTCAAATAACTAACTGCTAATCAACATTGCGTATTTCTACGGAATGTTACATTTTTCTTATTTTGCATTCATTATATACATTTTAAAACTTAAAAATTAAATAATTAGTCGTTTGAGGTTCAATGCAAAATTTTAGTATTTTAGGTTATGTTACTTTTGACAGCACAATATCAATATCAATAGTAAGGTTATGTTGTGAAATGTTATGTATCTTATTATTGGGCTAGTCAAGTCTTAATATTCCACGCATATTTTCTTTTTTTGCATTCCATTATGCATTATTATAAGTTGACAGTATTTGTGAATAAGCATACAGAGCTCTACGGCTGTATCACTCTCGGGTCTCGACTGACGTTTCGGATAAGATACGGTCACGTTCGCGCCGTCTCGATCTCCTCCGATCGCTTTCTGCGTTTCATTCAATATCCTCGCATCCACCGCGCGCTTAGACTCTCGCACACTCGTTTATTTACATATCGCGCGCGCTGAGTTGGAGTTGCATGCCGAGGAGGCATTAATTGAATCTTGTTGTTACAACAAAGTCACGTATTGTTTATTACTGCGACCGCTTCGCGCGCTTTTTATTTATTTATAGAGTAACGCGTAAACGTATGCAATATCGGCTCTACGTCCGCATTACACAGTGCTTCCATAAAGGCCCATAATGTGCGAGCCAATAATAAGCACACAGTTATATACAATGCGTTTAATAAACAAACCGAGTACGATTGACTGGTGCTAACTTTGAAATTATTTCGGACCTGATATGAAAGCGATAGTCATTGTGTATGTGTCTAGTTCATGAAATGTAATTAAAGATTGTGTTTATTAAATAAACATTAAGTCTACAAGAGGGTTTAGTTAGGTGCAGTTGAAACAATCGGAGAACTGTGAGAGTATGACGATAAGATGTAAATGCATACACTTACCTAATAAGTATTTTTGATTATTTTTATTATATCAACTTGAATTAATTGTTGTTTTATGTTTTTATACCCATTTGAACAGTTTGAATGCGGCGGGCGACAAATCGACGAATAATAAACTTATGCAAATGATGAATTTTATTTGACGACGGCTGTGTTCGTTGTGGATTACGCGAAACTGCTATTAAAACCGCGCTTAATGATCGGCAATTAATTTAAATGGCATGCTCAACGTGTGAAATGTGCTCAGGCGGCACAGGCACACATAGTTAACGTTTCGGATAAATTAAGAAATTAATTTTAAATATTAAATTTCAATTTTTCATCTAAAAATTGATTTCGAACATGTTATTTTCCATTATGGTATAGGTAAAGAGGTACGGTGCGCCGCCAGCTGGTTTCTCAGCTACCAATGGATGGCATGTCGACAACCCAACGTGCACGAACGTTTCTTCCTCGCGGCGATGAAACGTCGCGTTGTCGTGCACCACATATGCCGCTTCGATTTAATCGCATGACACGTCTTGGTGATTGTTCTAGCGAAAGTTCGTGCGAAGTCGAATAATTTATGTCGGTTAGAGTTACGAGTTAATAATGCCTAGTTACTTAGACGTTTTGACAGATGCCACTTAGGATTTTGCGCGTACAATAAACGCGCAAATTGCTTCAGCCTCAAAAACCATCGAAATGCAATTTTGCAATTTTCATATTTTGTAATCATTTAGATCCAGCAGAAGTCCTGATTGCCCCTATCTGTTACAAACTGCTTCTTTTATATATCAAACATACCTGGATATATTCTATATATTATATATTCCTAGATATCACTGGTGGTCATCAATATTTCATGGATGGGTTTATAGATAGTAAATCCATAATTTATGCCTGCTTTAAGTTTATTCATCGTTGAGATTGTGTGTGCTTTTTGACTAGTTTATCAATTACTTGAGATGAACCACATCGGCGATCGCAAAATCGCGAAATATTGCAATCAAATTAGTATTTTAAGACCGTCGCTATAAAATCATGCCAACTCCGTTTAAGTTTATGTCCGCTTAAGCTTCCGTAAATGCTTCGAATAAAATGTAATCGTGTCGTCCGCGTTTTATTCGTTTGATATCTGGCATGTTGCAAGTTGCGCAGGTTTCCCTAAATGTTCGAATAACTTTAGTGATGACGAGTTATGCGGGTCGTCGGCCGAATAAATTATAAATATTTGGCATACTTATCAATAAATAATATTTTATGCATGGGAAAAGTTGCAAGCAGCATCAGAATCTTGCTGAAACGTCAAAAGTTAATTTTGCAT